AATAATAATAATAATAACATTTATAATGCGCCAATTCCATAAAATTTTCAAATCCGCATGACAAGATTAAAAACGGAATAAAAAGGCTAAAAAGCTAAAATTATTATTAAAGGTAAACTTACAATGATTTTAAAAAGTTTAAATTACAATTAAAAGTAAACTTACAATAAAAAAACAACTATGATAAAAATGCATGACGGAGAAGGTGAGTTTTTAGCTTGGCTTTGAGAGAAAAGAAGCGTTTATTTCGCTATCGAGTTAGTTTGAGGGAAATCTCTTACGTTTTGTACGCGCACGCGCTTAAGTGTGCGCGCTAATGACGCGAAAATCGTGCGCAGTAGGGATGCGCAGTGCAATACTAAGGAATCACCTTAAGCAACTGTTTTACACGTCTCTATATATAACAGAAAACGCATGGGACAGGCAGGGGATTGAACAGTACGTGTGAAGTAGTCTTGGTCGGTATTACCATTCTGTAGCTTTCTAACCAATAAAGCTTGATTTGTGTTCTTTCTTTGTTTTCTTCAGATTTTACCAAAAAAGGAGAAACCAGGACTGTTTAGAAGACGATTTGGCTGGTTATATAAGCGCCATTGAAGAAACAAAACGAGCTGTTAATACTTTGAATCTCGGTCAACTAACAAGAGAATTTTCTGCCTGATATTACTATGTTATCAAATCAATAAAAATACCTTTCGTACCGCAAGAATAGTTCTCCAACCTATATACAACTGTACATGTCACCGTGGGAATTCTTGGAGAGCTTATGCCTCAAACATTTCCCGTGAAAACTTTTTACCATTACCCATTTTCCCAACAGAAAACGCTCTGCTCTATCCCTCATTCTTTTCGCCAGTTCATGCACAAGTCAGATCACTTTCACCGTTATTTCTGTAAAGTAAAGATAACTGAATATCCCTACATCAGCAACTTGGATGTGATGACAGTAATCACTAATTCATCACACCATATCCTGCTCCCAGAAAACAAGCAACTCTCCTAGAGAATTCCCGGATATCACGCCAATTCCTCCGAGCTTGTTTTTCCTGATTTACTCACTCCATTGCTGTTGACTTCGGGCCAAGAGTTGCGGTCTCTGGTACAGCGAGGACTGGGACGAATACTATGAGGAGGACAATGATGGCATCACTTGTGCAGATGCCCACGGCAAGTTAATGTTCATGTAGAAGAAGCGCTCAGTCTGTTCGGAACGTTTCGAAATTGTCTCAGTGTTTTGAAGATCTAGCATGTGGTAATAATAATAACGCTGTTCATTTGACACTCACGCAGTGTTAATTTCTAACCTTGACTGGAGCGAAGTGCTTTTCGTTGCAATTGTTAAATAAGAGAAAGCACTCGAATCTAAATAAATGATCTCAAGTCATAAATATCTGATTTACCGTGTGTCTTGAAATGTCTATAGAGATCTGTTTCATTTGTGTGAATACATTTTTGCCTATTTTTCTCGCAACTGTCAGTGAAGATAAGCGCCCAGACAATTTTTACAGGAGAAGACGATGTTTACGAGGTAAACAGAGTATTTCATAAAGTTATCCGCTGATGCTGTCTTGAATATTTACAGCAATTTAGAAATTAATCATCGCTCTACAACCGGTCCCCGAAACTCGTGTGACGTCAGTGCTTGACCAGTCCTGGATTCATATAATTCAGTGGTTATCAGCTCATGTACGTAGAACAAAGTGTACCAGGATAAAGTACTCGTGCCCCGTATCTATAATCAAGCAAAAATGGCGACAGTTTCTACAGATCATCATATTGGAGCAGCGGAATCATTTACAAAGCTTTCCTTTAACAAAACTGAAGGTCAGTCAATCTCATTGAAAACAATGTCAGGAAACAAATTTGTTGAAACTACTCTGCTCACTGGCAGTTTAACAAATTTACGTCAGTTTTTCATGCGTCTGTCCTGTTATTGATCATGAATTTTTTCACAACATTCTCAAAGTAGCTGTGGATCCACGCGGCGGTAACCGAGTGGGTCCGCAGACTACTTTGACAATGCTGTTACGAAATTCATTGTCAATAGCATGACAGACGTCAATTTGTTTTTTACAATAACAAATTGCCAAATTGTCCGTTCTCACTCGTTGACGCATCGCACAAATTGCAAATTCATGCGTCTGTCCGCTTATTGACAATGAAAATTAGTCAATGAGCGCGCGAGAATTTCTGGATGTTTACTGTTCGCGCGAGACTGGCACGAGTATCTATGTTTGGTTGGAAGACTAGGTTCTAGTATTGTTACTTAGAAACGAGACACATACAAAATGGCGGACAAACATGGAATTTTTAACCTGGATATGTACTCTTGAAATACTTCGTTGAATCAAGCTTGTCCTGTTGCATTTGACCGTTAAGAAAACACAAATGAGTGCAAAAGGTGGTAGCGTCACTGGGTCTGTCAGAAATGAAGAAAACAGTATGGACAATTCAACTGAACTCTCGAAGATTGAAATGACAGATACTGAACTCTCGAAGATTGAAATGACAGATACTACGGACAATGAAGCGCTGCTAAAAGAAAGTTTTAATATTGATGAATCAGAGACTAACGGAGAAGCCAATCCTCGTGAAAATCAGAGTTTAGAGGGAGAAGAAGTGGATGATCAGGTAAGGACTACTTGCACGGTGCTTGAGTTGACTTGACGACTGATGTACGGTGCTTTTTTTTGTGCTTGTAGCTACATTTTAAACCTGCATGTTGCTTAAGTTTATACATGCATGTATAAGACTTTCCTCAATGCCTCATCAAAAACAAGTCATTACTGTTGATGCTCGCGAGAAAAATACATTTTCGTTATATGAGATAAACGTACCAAACTTGTAAAATACATGTACATGTAGACAGCAACAGTGATAAAGTTAAATAGATGATTTCAAAAAATTGATTACACACCTGTTTGTATCTATTTTTTTTTTTCAGGAGGCAGAAGAGATTGAAGACATGATAGCTGATGGTTTATCACAGTTAGGACGGTCTGCTGATGGAACCCTTCAAGTTTATCTCAATCTCTTCTTAGCGGTATTAAGGTTTTGTTGTTGCCAGCAGTATTATTAGCAATTACAACTTGCAGGCATTTGCAGAATTTAAAATAGAGCTTGGGAGTGTGGGGTGATACATCAAATCTGGAAATCCTAAATCAGGTTGGATTGGTTTAATATCTGTTTTGTTAGTCGTGGTGGTAACTAATTAATATGCATGCATGCAACATTGTGAAGTGCGAGGGTTAAATTATTATGTTGATGTACCTGTAATCTTTACAGTGGAGCCCCACCTTCAGTCTGCATGTAAATTATTTATTGATTGTTTTTCTCTTTTCACAGGGTTGTGAACTGACAGATATCACATGCTTACAGGAGTACATCCACTTGCAAACTGTAATTATTTCACATAATTCACTCACAGGTGTGTGAAAACTTCCTTCAAGAACATGAAAGTTTTGTTCTACTTGTATTTTTTGTTTTGGTTCTTTTGTTTTATTTCATTTACTTATTTATAAATAGTTTGAGGTAAATTAACGGATCTCATTGCGCTAACAGATTTAAGTCCATTGGGCTGTATGCCTTATCTGGTGACACTTGATGTCTCACACAATGAACTCACCACTGTTTTAGACTTCAAGCCTCCTCTTGGTCTAAGGGTAGGAGAAATGCAAGAATGTTAACCAATTTTAACTATTTATAAAGTCCCTGGGCAGTTATTTCCTAATTTCTGTAATTGTATCTCAATGCATCATCCAAGCAAGTCTAGGATTATTGTTCACAGAAGACAGTGTGGCCAAGTGTTTACTGGGTGGTGGACTTGAGATCCAGAGGTTGGGGATTCAAGTTCCACTCTGACCACTTAACTGGAGTTGTTTCTTGGTAGACCCTAGTTCAACTCCTTGGTCATGCTTGTAATATCAGGCCAACTGGTCTTCCTCCTTCCAGTTGGGATTTTTAAGCCTATTATGTTTAGTTGATATATTTGTTTCTGTCAGTTTAAAGTTTGAGTTTTCAGTTTCAGTTTTTTTATTATTGCACACTATTTACAGAAAAACAACTTAACATAAGATGGTTTTCAATGATATAGGAAAAATAAATACAGAAAGAAATTAACTAGAAGAAACAATATTTAATTCTGTACAGTGACCAAAGTGGCATGGCTGAGAACTAGATAGGTGTAGGTGTAGCTAAGCATTTTCACCACTATAAACAGCAACATTTTTTTCTCTTGTCAGTAGTGATGTTATAATAACCTTATGATCTACCAGTATGATTAACTTTTTTACACAGGAAGTGATTATGTCCTATAACAAAATAGAAATCCTTCCGGATCTTTCAGCTCATCAGTGCTTGACAAGCCTCACACTGGACTGTATCCTTGAAAAAGCTTTGGGAACAAGGCGTGTGGGGGGCGGGGGGGACGTGGTGGGGGGCTAGATGGCTTATTAGTGCGAGAAAACTAATGGCTCTGGTTTTTGTAACATTCACAACCATTGGACTATTTGTTAATGTGTAGTTCTTGTGGATGTGATGTTAGTCCATTGAGCCATTGAGGTTTAATCCCCTCACCCCCTTCACAACTGTTTTATTTTACTTTAAATAACATATTTACTTGAATTGTCTACAGCTAGAATAAGAAATCTTGCTTGAATGTTGGGACAAATGTCAAAAATGCTGGGCGTTTTGATGTCAGACATCCATCCATCAAGGGGGAGTACATCTAAAAAGTACAAACCGAGGTCCTTTATGAAGTGTCAGTATGGTAGTTAGCCACCTCTGCCTTGAAAAAAGGCTTTGCCTTAAACTGTTGTCGTTACAATATTAGTGTTTGTTGATTATTATCCTTAATTTTTCCAATTTACAGATAATAACATTTCAGAAATTCAGGGTTTAACTAGCTGTCACCGGCTATCTCACTTGAGCTTGATGAACAATAAGATCTCCAGGATAGCTAATCTGGAAAACTTGCCTCTAAAATCACTGAACCTGGTTTGTTAAATTATGCCTATCTCTTTTTTTCTTGCTCTTGCATGGCTCAAGACATACAGTGTGTCTAATTTTCAGTCCAGTTAGTTATTATTGTTATTTATTATTTTTAATCATATGGCTCTAGAGTAACAACGACATAAAGAAAATTGAAAATTTGGAAACGCTGAAATATCTAGAGGTAAGTAAACATTTATTAAATAAGTGCTCAATTTTGAAATGTGCTTTTTTAATGTGAAAATAAAGTTAAAAAACTCTATAATTTGAATTGATTATTGATTATTGACATGTAAGTATATTAAGCATGCATCTTTTATGTCCTCTACCTCTTGTCTCAGTTACTCAATTTGTCCAGAAACAGTATTCGGAGCATGAAAGGTCTTCAGAACCATAACTTAATACAAGAGATTGATCTAGAAGAAAACCAGGTATGTAATGCTTACTCTGTACAATACATGAAATTATACATGTACAATAAATTATTTACATGTTTGCTGTTGTGTTAAACTGTTTGTTTATATTTTCAAGTGGTATATACAGTATCATCTACCACACCTCAACTTAAGGTGGCAGAACACAGTTTTTGCACACGCTTTTGCTGATGCAATTCAGCACGGGCACAAGGATTACAAAAAACAAACATGCCGTCAATGGAGCGATCATTTTATTTACTCAACACCCGCACTATCTTTTATTAAAAAGATATGTTAGAAAAGGTAACAATACAAAGAACCCAGCAATTCTCAGCTTTGTCTTTGTTACCGAAAGAACCCAGTTAAATGTAGCGCATGCGCAGTAGGCCAAAAAA